CATTAATGTATGCAAAGTATGCAGCCTACAGCTTGTTCATTAGGAAAATGGAGAAGTAGAGGAGAGTATGTAGATTAAATGTCACCAAGGAATATAAAACTCTTTGTGGCTATATAAAACTCTTCCCCATACATAGGAAAGTGCAATGTATAAAAAGGAGAGAATGTGCAACTGCTCCACTGCCAAATGCCTGATGATGGGTAAGTGTGATGCCTTGACCCAGCCTCCTCCATTCCTCCTCTCTGTAGGTTCAGGTTTGCTCACTGCTCAATGCACTAAGAGCATTGGGGATGTTGCTATAAAGTTGAGACAGGTTGTGCCAAAGGGCTAAGGCAGTACAAGGAATAATGAATTCCAGTTTTGTATTACTGTTTTCATACCACAGTCTCGGGCCTCGCTTCTTCTTTCAGCAAGTATCTGCTGAAGAATTTGGAATTGGCTTTCCTCTCATCAGACCAGGTCTTAATCTCTTCCTCCTCCTCCTCCTCCTACTCATCAGCACCTTAAGTGTAAGGTTTTTCACTTTCATGGCCACATGCAATACACAAAACAAGAACTGAAAGATCCACCAATTCTGCTAATTGCCAAAAGGGGGTGAAGAATTATGTCAGCCACATTATTAAAATTTAAAGACCTGTTTCTGAGCCTATCCAAAAAGTCACTGAGTTTTAGTCAGGTTCATAAGACAGCGGCAGGCAGAGGGAAATAAATTTGTTTAATTTTAACATTTTTAGACCATTTTTTTTTCAATTTAGAATGTATTTAAATTACATGAGCTAGCCCAGAGTTTCAGTGGTGGTGGTGTATCAATTCACACTGAAAAAGAGCAAAGCAGCTAATTTTCAGCTGACCTTATGCATGCCTATACTAATTCTCACTGCCCTACTTCTAGGCCCTCATGTTCATGCAAAATCAGAGACAGCACAGCTCACTGCCACAAGCCATTTCATTTTTCACCAAAAAGATGTTTCATCCACTTACGTCACTTATTTTACTGAAAATGTGAAGCCAGGCCTATTGTTTGAACAGAACTGTTTCTTTTTATTTTTAGCGTTGCCCTAATTTTTTTCTTCTAAAAACATGTGACCAAAATCAAAACAAAAACTCTGCCAGATTCAACACTAATTTTTGATGAAAAATTCATTTCAGAATTCTTTTTTGTTATTCCACTTGGAATAAAAAGAACTTCTTATTACAAAACAGCTATAAAACAGAAAATCTAGGCCCAACACCCCTAAGCAGAGAAAAAGCAATGAAGGAAGAAAGTACCTGCTCTTAGCACTGACTTTTATCAAATTGTGTTATTAGTGAAGAATTAGCTACACCAGTCCATGAGTATTTCTGGGTTTAGAGCTGGCTTGAAGCTTTGTTCCAGGGGTCACATGACAAGAGCTATAAATCTGGAAGACATTGCAACTCAGATATAGTGTTTGACCTTCCCCATAAAGCTTTACCATCTGCTCTCAAGAGACAGAGGTGAGGTAGAGGGAAATTTCTCCCTTTTTCCTAAATAGTTTTTTAGCTCATGATAGAATAAAAAGGTCCCCTGATCTCTAAAGGCATTAAGTTCACAAAAACAACCCCCCTTCAAGAAAGGAATCAAAAGATAAGGGCCTTCTCTGTTCTAGATAAAATCTGTCTCGAGGGAGCTAATACTTATCTGTGTGCTTGGTTCTATGCTTATGTTTTTCCACTAGACAAAATGCAAAATCACAGACAAGGCATATTACATCAGTTTCGTCTTACCAATCACAGAGCCACCAGATGGAGCTGAGGTTCTGCTTTTAGCAAGGAGGAGCACAATTAATTTCTGGAAGGATTTCAGTGAACATTATGCATGTGTATAACAGACAAATACGTGTGGACACACTGCTCCCTGTATAAATTAGGTGTATTTCAGGTTTAAACAAACAATTTGAATGAGCCATAGGAACTAGTAAATCAGATTCACAAGTGTTTCTTCTGTATGCTTTCCTGCTGTCTAATAAAGGGTTAGCTTTCCTTGACTGTGGCTCCTCTATGAGCCACTAATCCTTAAAAACTTGTAGGAGTGCAGTCCCTCTGACACCTCTGTTTCTCTCCAAAATATAACTGAAATTGGCCACCAGCTTCAAAAACTGTTAGACAGACGAATATACATTCCATACATGGAATGCATTCCAGACAGCAGAATTATTTAAGCCCTACTACCTACCATAGCAACCAAGATGTAAAATACCTAAAAGACTTAAGCATTAAAAATTTGGTTTGTGGTCCATAATACTTTGCATATGGTAAAATACAAGCTTTTCCCCATATATAAAAAAATATAAATAAATAAATAAAAATACACACATATACAGAGGTAGCAGTATTGCAAAGACAACAGCCAAAGCATCAGTGGGAGCCTCAGGGAACTCTACCACTTCCTCCTTGCATTCACACAGTGTGCCAGAAAACCCAGACTGAATTACTGGGACAACAGTAAGTGATGCAAGTCAAAAAGGTGTATATATGCCAACACCATTTAAAATGACTTGCTAACATTTTCTTCCACCGTTTTAATGAAGTTGGCTTGAATCCCTGGAGTTTAAGGTTGTTAGAACTCAAATGTGTCAAACTTATTATATATACAGTTGTTGTTAATGCTTGTTACAAGATACGTGGCCCGAATTAGTACTATGGTAGACCCTGGAAAACTTGATGACAATTACTACTCCTTTCCACTTCACAGTTTACATAGGAAAAAGCTCTTCTTTTCTGAAGTGATTTCACCCCAACCAGTGAAGATCCAGGGTAGGAGGAAGACGCTGCAGACTATGCTTTGTAGTGACTTTACCACAGCCAAATTCAGAGCACCTGAACAGAACTGTCCAAAAAAATGGTGAACTTTTGGTTTCACCAACAGCTGTGAGATTTCAGATTCTAAATTCATTAAGAGGCAAAATTAAACATGACATCTTAGGAGAAAAATAACTACTTTGGGATGATCTAACATTATGCTACAAAATAAATTAGATTACATTTATACATTGCATTATAAAAATGATGGCATTAAAAAAATCAGCAAAAAACCCCAATAAAAAACAACTAAACAAAGAATCTTTCACCCAAATGGAATCTTTGCAGATTCAAAATGGATGTTTTTACATTAGTCAAGATTTTTCTCCCCCACTGCATCCAAAAAAGCAGCCCAGGAATCTATTCACTTTCAGGAACTGTTTGGACTGTGATGAAATCAAAATGAGTATATCAGTTTCACACAGATTTCTCCCAATGACTCAGTCCTATGGTCCAGTTCAGCCCTTGAACCTTCAAAACTCATTCAATGTAATAATTACTATATATTACCAGGACTGAAAAAATGGCCCAGATGTCCTGAAGCCTCCTTGCCCTCCTCCTGATGGCATTCATTTGTTCCTGAGTTTTAAATGTCGTAAAATCCAGGACATTTAAAGCATTTGACCATACAGGGTGCATCACCTACATCTCCCAGCCACCTTCAAGAATTCTCTTTGCTAAACTTCCTCATGTCCTATGTTTCCTTTGCAATAAAAGACTTTTTTATTGATCCCTTTGACTGAAAAGTGTTTCCTGATCATTCACCCAGAGCTTCATGTCCAGCCAGACCTTCTCCCTCCCACAGCTGGAGCTTGGGTGACAAAAGTGCTGCTGATTGCAAAGGAGGGACCGGACTGTGTTCTGTGGCTGGGAAAACATAAAACAGCCTGCAGGGAACAGCATCTCCTGGGAAATTTTTCTTTTATTAAGCAAGAAGGTCATGCCTTTATTATCCTGCAAAGCTGATGTGCAATCCCCCTTCTGGGCTGGAGGCTCATGTCCATGCAGCTGTGGCCTTTTGCTGCACAGCAGAACCTGTTATTGAAGTGAGTTCTTCCTCTGTACAAACGTATTCATGCTCCACATAAAAGGTATATAAGGATGTGCCTCCAGGAGAAAATACACTTTTTTTTTTTAAAGCTATTTTCCCCATAACCACTACTGTAGATAGGCTTTCTCTTTTCCTCACATGGGAGAGAACTCTTGGTGAAAGGACTTTCTGCAACTTGCATGATCTGAAGCTGCTTCTGGCTGGCAGATGTCTGAGCTGAGATAGAAGGGTTTTCCCCTCCTCTCTATTTTCTCAGCACAGTGACTATGATGGGCTTCCCACACCATTCCAGAACAGCCTGTTAAATGCTGCAATGGAGGCAAGAAGTGTCTACCACTCAGCCTTCTGATACCTGCCTGTGAAACAGAAATGTTTTCCCCACAGAACCACGTTTAATTGTGTCCTCCTGCCCCTGAGGTTACACCACAGCATCTATTTGCTCTGCAGTTCTGACAGCTTATGAGAAGAGAGGCCCTGCTGCCAGAGGAGTCCAGTCAAGTTAGGTGGATTTTTTTATCCCAGCCCCAGGAACAATGAGAATAGCAGCCAATACATAGGCTGCATTTCTAGAAATCCCATGATTCGACCAGAGTCAAGCTAATATTTCCAAGGACTTCAACAAATCCATACTCTACACTGTGGTGGCTCAGCTCTAAATTATGGATAGAAGACTCTATGCACCAATGTCACCTATCTTTGGGGACAACTCAGAGGCCTGCCAATGAAGAGGCATCCTAGTCTCAACATGGGATTCTAAGAGATGGATTAATTCTTTTCCAACACCTTGGGCATGAGAGGGACAAGGACTGCAGACCTGTAGACCCGTCACCTCCTTTGTCTTTTTCATGTAAGATTTCATCAGTTCCTGTACAAAGCGGTTTTCACATCTTCATAGGGGCTTTAATGTGAAGATTCTCCATTATAATCACATAATGACCACTCAGTAAACCATGACATCAGTGGTGCATACTCCACTTGCATGAACAGGCAAAAGAGTAATAAAAGAAGTTGAGGATATCAGTCAGAATACTGGGTAACATGATGGTGCATGTATTCCAAAGTCACAAATCAGCAGTGGTGGTGTTGGGTCCAGTCATGGATCCATACGGAACATAGAACTGGCCTAGAAATTACAATGCCAGCTGAACTTTGAAGCCCCATCAGCACTTTTTAGATATGCCAAACCCAGATCGAACTAAGCTACTTTGAAACAGCTTCCCACTGAAACAGCTCTCATCCCAAGGAACACACAAACCATAACAGAACAGAGACTTTGAAGTTATTGGAATACAGTTCTACATTAAAATGGTTTCCTCGGCAACCAAAAGTCAAAGCAGCCTTCAAGCAATTCAGACACACAAGCCTTTCACTCCTAACAACTTTTCAATTAAAGAGGGACAAACATACATTTAAATTATGAAATGGTAAAAGCTTTCTAAAGAGCCCAGTGCAGCGTAGCAAGCTCTCATAGCAATGTATTTCAGTTAGATAACAACACCTCCTGCAAGGTTTCAAGGACAACCATTAGACATAGAAAGAAAAGGATGAACACAATATGCTTTTACACTGCACTCAGTGCAAGTATCATAAAGTCTTGGTTTATGAGTCCATTCCACAAGATCACAGTTTGGATACACTGTGCAGGATACAATGACACTTTTAGACCTCTACTGTTGATGTGAAATCCAAGATCCACTGCCTTTAGACAGATTCTGGTCGGACGGCAGGCACGGCAGTAGCTCTAGAGCATGCCTATCGTGCAGTCACAGCACCAAGGCCCACAAAGGCAGACAAGAACTTGTGCTAAACCTGTGCAGCAGCAGTGCCTGATGCAGAGCTCAGTTTGTCCCTTGTAGCAGGGGTCCCCAAGCCAGCTGGGTGGTGCTTCAGGGTGGAAGCATCAAATAGCAGTGCTATCTGCTACCACTGGAACAAAGGCTCAGTCCTCCATCTCACAATGCCTGCAGAACCATGGATCAGAAGGAAGCACACTGCAGACAAAAACCTGCTGTGGCAAGACAAGAAGTTGCCTTGGATTCAGCATTCTGGCTGGGAAACCTGAAACTCAAGGAAGAGGAAAGGCAGAGTTATGGTTGATGACATGGTCTGAAATGATAATAGGTGAATTCCCTGATGTCAGAAAAATTATGCATCTTCACACCAGGAGGAGGCAGAACAAATGTCTCTGAACCACTGTTACTTTACATTGCCAGAGACACCATGAAATTGAGTCCTTCTCCTTAGATGACAGCATGGGGTGCACAATTCTGTGTGCTGTGTCCTGTCACTGCAGGAGATGAGACTGCAAGCTACGCAGATGAGTTTCTCCAGGTGCATAATCTTACCTCCCAAGAATAAAATTGATGGGAATGAGGACATTCATCCATGTAATAAAATAGAGGCTAACAAGGAGACTGAAAATCCAGCTTCAGGCAGAGAACAATATTTCAGGTAGATATTTAAAGTTTATCATTAAGAAACTGAGATTAGTGCATTATAATGTGTAGTAGCAGGCATGCTTTAAGAATAAGGCTCACCACCAGGATCGGCTGTTTGCCTGATTCCATGAAGATCTGTAGTCCTCTGTGCATTTGAATATGCACTGTACATTCTCATTTCTATGGAAGATCACCTGTCTTTCTCTTCCTTAGGATTTCATGTCTTTATGTACATTCTTGCTATATAAAGAATCCACAATAATGTTACCAATGAAATTGTCTATGAATAATACATCACTGCATCGCATATAGTCAAGGATTTCTTGAGGGATAATGAAAACTACTAGTTCTTACTGGGTGTTCAGGCCAGGCAGTACATTGCTTACTAATTTATTTTAATCTTTGTTAAATAAAATATTCAATTAATTAATCTCTAGTGTCATACATCATACAGAACCAGAGCAAAAGAGCATCTGGAATGTATCCATAGCCCACAGCTCAGCTCTGCTGCAGCAAGGGGATGCTGAGGACACTTTGGAATTCTGAGGTGGAAGGCAGGAATTGCTGTGTTGCCGCTGAAGATGAATAGATCACACGGACACAGGTCGAGGTGTAGTGAAAGGAAGAGAAAGTTTAATTTTTCCTCCCAGGATTTACAGGCTTCTGCCCACGGCCAGGGATTGGATGGTCAGGATAACACTTTCTCACTGCACTGGCCATGAGAGATGCCCATCACAAGATGTGTAACAGAAAGAATGTACACATATCTATGTTTACAGTTACTGTCCTGGGAAAGTCTTTAGAAAACCATGTCAGCAAGCTCAGAAGCTGAGTTTTCAGGGTGACATTGCTGCTCACCTTCCAGCCTGATACTCATAAAACCTGAGCTTCATGAGGACTGCAGATCCTGTAATAGCCACTCTTGTGCCCACAGTCAAAGAAAATAAGAGAACAGGCCCAGCCAGCCAGATCTTCACAGGCAGTGGGGTGTGTTCAAACTGGGGAATACCCAAAATGATTCAAGAAAGTGGTAGTTGCTAGCTGTGGATCCCACCCCAAGTTTTTCCAGGATTATTCTTCTCAACACTTGCTATGACAAGATGTGTCAGTGAATGACTGCACTGAATGCTTGAATATTTAGACTACTTTCATTTCAGTCTGTTTATGCTCAAGCACTTAACCTATCACAATCTGCAAAACAGGAAACTCTCACTGTCTAGTGAGTGCATCAAGCCAGACAGGCAAAGAGTAAAGTATATTTCCAAAATACAATACTCCAAGGTGCAAGAGGAATTGCTGAGCAGAAATCAACAAAATGAGTCTGATTTGGAGGTTTTATTATCATTTTCAAAAGTAAGTACATACAGGAAAACCTGCTGATAGCACAGCAATAGAGTTATAAAATTCTCAAATTTTAACTGCTAAATGTCAGAAAATATTGAGAATTTTCCACTATAACACTTGGGAAACAAAATGCTACCGAACCAAACAATCTCATCTTACTCCTCCAGGAAAAACTGACACACTGATATAGTAATCCAGTGATTACCAGACTGAAAACTGGCAAGACTTGTCTATACTCTTCACATGCTATTTTATTTGCTTACAAAGCACCAGCTTGTTTTGTTATAAAATATTAAATTTTAAGCAATGTTACCTTGTTTCAAACATACCCAGATGACACACTTTTGCCTTACACCCTTCACCAACAGTAGAGATGGCTAGAGTGGCAAAACCTTCTGACAACCAAAGTAAATTATATGCTGATAAAAATCAGAGAGGAAAATTTAAGTTTCAGTTTTTGCAGTTTTTTCTTTCTCTGCTCTCTCCTTTTCATCATTTCAAAAGTGGATTGAGATAAGAGATAAAAACTAAAAACAAGGCACAAGTCTCAGGGGGAAAACCCCCAAAATGTTTCATCCTGTTCTAAATGAAAATGTTGCATTTTGCTTAATTCTAAACCAACAGTTTTCAATTCATTTCATCAAAGAAACAGGAATAAAGCATGACAAAACCTGAAACTCTTTTTTTTTCATGATCCTCATATTTTTTTTTTCCTTGACAGCTCAACCCACTTTTTCAGGAGACCCTAGTAAGAGCTGCATTTACCTTTTTGTAACTGAATAAACTAATTTGGTGCCTTCAGCTCCTTCAAATGCATTCTCATGTGAACCATCCATAAAATGTGCTTACAGGGGACCTAGAGGTGAATGCTTAGTGCTGGTCCTGGAGTGACTCACTTTGGATTCAGTGCCACCTGACGTCAACACACACAGGAATTGCTCAGGAGTTGCATCCACTTCAAAGTGGACTTCTGGAGAATCCAGTAACTCAAAGACAGAGATGGACTGCACAGACTGAGGCATTTTTTGGGAAACTTTTATAGGAAAGAGGAAGGTATATAACTTGGTTAGTCAAACAGCAAAGGGTTATCTCCTTAAGAGCAAAGGGGAAGCAGGAAGGGAACTATACATCCAATAGGATGGTATGCAGGCACCTGAGGCTTGGCACTGCTGGGTTAATAGCTAGATTCAATCTTAGAGGTGTTTTCCAGCCTAAATGATTTTATGATTTTGAAGATACAGGAAGTGCTTGCAAGTGTATTTTGCTGTAGCTCAAAACAAAACCAAACAAAAGAAAACAAAACCCATAAAGCAAACAGACAAAACCATTAAGTAGAACAGAAAATTAATGCCTCAAATAATGAACTCCGAAGCAGCAGTGAGTTCAGCAGGAGTGGGGTGATATACAGGATTTCATGCATGTGAGGAAGGATGATGATCTTTTTTAACAAATGCAAAAGACAACCTCTAAGTTAGCAACTTGCCAAGCACTGTCTGCCTGGGAGAATAACAGAAACCACTTCTAACATTTATTTTTTTTTCTGCAGACAGACTCTGTGATTCAGGGGAGGAAGGGAAGATCAGCAACCAGAAAACCTTCACGCTCATCTGCTCTATTTCCATTTCACATTATTATTCCTTTTTTGTATTGCAGAGTGCATGCAATCTCATTCCCTGGGAATATGAAACCTGCAGTCACTCTTTCTTAAAAGATGAGTTTCTAAACAGTCCAATCTCACTGCCTTTCTTTATGGATATAATCTCCATTTCTCTAGGTATTGTCTGTCTTCCCAAAATCTCATCTGTACTTTTAAATCCCAATAGGTTTTGTCACGAAGTTGTGAGTTTACCAAAACTTTCAGCTTCCTGTGATAATCTCTTGGCTCTCTGGACAACTGGCCACTGTGCAAGTCCAAAACCAGCTATCCCTAATACATTAAGAGGGACTTCCTTTGGCTTGTGACACTAATGTTGACAAATAAATGCAGGTGGTTTGCTTCAGACTGTTATCCACAAATCCCACAACTTCCCTCAGAAATTTGATCCTTCCTGTGTAAGCCTGAAGCTTGGCATGGCTACTGATACAGCATAAGAACATCAGGGTCTTAAACACTGAATCTAAATCAGATGTTTTTAAGCCAAAGTAAAACAACTGTAGCAGCAGCAATGATCTATCTGTTTCATCCTTTCTTCCTCGGACGCTTTTTCAGAATCCTGAGTAAAAAGACTCAGTTTTCCCGTTCTGCAGGTGGAGAAGCTGGAGTGAACTGAAGAGGATGTGCCTTGCCCCTGACCAAAGGACAAGCGAGGAGTTAAGCTGAGATCAGCACTGGGTATTCTGTGCTCCAGCCTAGCCTGCCACCTCGGGCAGACTGCACTAACACTCCAGAGAAATGTAAAAGTACATTCAATCCAGTAAATCTTTCTGGGGTGGCACTGTGGAAGTGCACTGATGGAAGCCCACTGGACAGATCAGTGCTTCCTGAAGGAAGCTTTTTTTGCCTGATACAGCTCCTCAGGAATTCATATCCATGAGAAATTGATTTGAATGCTTTCCAAGGAAGTGTGGCACTGCCTGGCTATACACATTTCAGCATGGCCCTTTTGCTGTCATCTTCTGAATCAATTTCTTTCACTTGCTGCCAACGCAGCATATTAGTTTTTAAGTTGCCTTCTCACTGAATGAGATATGGCAAACCTGTGAATTTTATTGGTTATAAGAAAGCTTTGAGAGGGAGAAGAGTAGAAAGAAATATCAAAGCTAGACTTCAGACCATATATTGCTTTTTCTATCAAAAGCAAGGGGGAAAAATTCATTCTTTATCTTGTAATGTGATTCATGGCTCTTTCCATAAGGCATTGATAATGTAATTCATTAATTTGGCATTGGTAGTCTTCACCATTTTCTTTGTATATATTTCACTAGTATGTGCCTGTCCACACTTGCAAAGGTGTCCTGCCTTAAATACGTCAGCACAAGTGCAAACCTAAAGCAGCTGCATAGAATATGGATGTTCTTGTGAAGGAAAATTGCCTGACATTAGCAGATAAAGCTAGCCAGAAATCCAAGGAGATGAATTCAGAGATCTGGGGTAACTTATTAACTCATTGCCTTCTTCTTATGAAGCCTCAGTTTTAAAGGAAAAAAGTGACTACTCCAATAGTTTCTTTTCTAGACCCCAAAGCACCAAGTTTGCATGGATTGTGTTACAGATATTAGATCTTGAGACAGCAAGCAAAAAGAAAAATATAAACTAATAGACCACTCTCAGAGCAC